GTGTGTGTTTGTGTGTCTGTGTCTGTGTCTGTGTCTGTCTGTCTGCGTGTGTGTGTGTGTGTGTGTTTAGGCCGTTATGCATCTCTACAGCTGGAGTTCTCTGCAGCAGTGAAGACCAGCGCTGAACAGAAAGAGCTCATCCTCAAACTGGAGCAGGATCTCAGCATCATCCAGACGATGTCACGGCCCGACGCTGAGGTCAGACGCGAGCATGAGCTTCAGAGCCTATGATTATCTCAATAATAATTTAGCTTTTCCTTTATTTACTAGCAGATGATGTCATCACTCCATCTGCTGTTTCTGTTTCATCGACAGCTTTATGTTCATGTTTTTCTATTAAAGTTCGGGGAAAAACATTAGCATAGACTTAGCATAGAATTTTTAACATGCTAAACTGTCCATATTAATTGCAGAAAATAACATTATCCAGCCATAAAAATACTGACAAAGATTTACTGACAAAATACAAGATACTGAGAAAATTTCAGACGGATGGTCAGAATGAGGGCTGAAAATAATAAAAAAAAAAATTATTGTGCAAAAAACTTGACTAACATTATAAGTAGGGTTGGGTACCGTTCAACGATGTCACGGCCCGACGCTGAGGTCAGACGCGAGCATGAGCTTCAGAGCCTATGATTATCTCAATAATAATTTAGCTTTTCCTTTATTTACTAGCAGATGATGTCATCACTCCATCTGCTGTTTCTGTTTCATCGACAGCTTTATGTTCATGTTTTTCTATTAAAGTTCGGGGAAAAACATTAGCATAGACTTAGCATAGAATTTTTAACATGCTAAACTGTCCATATTAATTGCAGAAAATAACATTATCCAGCCATAAAAATACTGACAAAGATTTACTGACAAAATACAAGATACTGAGAAAATTTCAGACGGATGGTCAGAATGAGGGCTGAAAATAATTTAAAAAAAAATTATTGTGCAAAAAACTTGACTAACATTATAAGTAGGGTTGGGTACCGTTCACATTTTAACCGATACGGTACCGGTATCGGTACCTGAATTTCGGTGCCGGTACCCAACAGTACCTTTTTTTGGTACTTTACTCTCTGTAATTACAAAAACATTTATTTCAGTGAAAAACTCGCGAAGTGACTCTCACAGCAGCTCTGGAGATTAAGTTTTTGTGTTCATGCCGTCATATAGTGAGACGCAGAGACCGGAAATCACAGAGAGCGTCACGCGTGCTTCAGTATTTGTGTAGTAAACAAAACTGCGTTTCCGCTGTTCTGTCGATTTGTGCTACCCTGTCAGATTTTGCTACCTCCCATTAAAACAGTGGGTAGTAACGTCTACACCTACCACAACCCTAAACCTACTCTTACAGTAATGCAAATACAGTAATTATGTGTTATATCCGCGGTTGTAGCTAGAAGGGATACAGCTACAAGAAACCAACAATAAATAATTTTTTCTACCTATTAGATTGTGTTTTAATAAAGTCTACACCTACCCCAACCCTAAACCTACGCTTACAGTAATGCAGATACATTAAATATTGTTGTTCAGCGTGAGGAAAGGGACGCAATATTGATGTGTGCATGCGCAGTAAACCCTGGTAGGACAATCTGACGGGTAGGATAAAATGTCAGGACAAAAAGTCTCAATTTCAACATTTTAACAATAGGGCCCTACAAACTTTTTCTTTTTTTTTTTCCAGAAATTCTTGTTTTATTTTTTCTGAAAATCAAATGAAGGCATTAAACATTTATTTTAAATCAAATGAAAATTAAACCCTTTTATTTTTTGGCAAACAAACTGAGGTTTACTGTTGACATTAATACATGGAAGAAAAATTGTGTGAATATTATTTTTATAATTTAATTGTTTTCTTTAAATTTGATAGACAATGGAATATTTAAAGATGTACATGATACTGTTCAAAAGTAATACAAGAGTAATATATTTCTGTTACATGTTAAACCGTACTGTTATTTTGACAGGTTGCCATGAAGCTACTGTGTGTATACAGTATGATGATGCTAGTTTTCTCAAATTAAACTATAAAATTCTCGCGAAGTGACTCTCACAGCAGCTCTGGAGATTACGTTTTTGTGTTCATGCAGTCATATAGTGAGACGCAGAGGCCGAAAATCACTGCGAGCGTCACGCGTGCTTCAGTATTTGTGTAGTAAACAAAACTGCGTTTCCGCCATTCATTCATACAGAGGCAAGTGGAACATGCAGGATTCATATTTAAACCGTCTTTTTGCGTTTTAATATTCACAGACACTAGTTCATATCGCTATTCGAATGAAGTGGCAGACCTACTTTTGATTTATTAGTCAAAAAATTGACGAATTCCGTGGCGTTCCACGCTATAGAGTAAATTACGTTTTTATGGATGGACTCCGCGATCCCGTCCGAGTTTTCGCAGAAACCATACGGCCCTAGAAATGTACCCACACTTCAGAAAATTTCAGCTTGCCCTGTGTGTTGTTTGAATGAGTTGCAGGGGTGACATCTAGGCATGGGGTCTCTACCAGTTTCAAGGTATACC